ACTGATGAACTCCTTTCATATTTCACTGAAAATCAATCAGAAAAAGCATACTCCCATTATCCCATTTATCAACCCACTTGCATCTGTGCCCAAATGCACTAGTTCCCTGCTATTAATACAAACAAACCTGGTTAGTCCCCTGAAGCCAGTCCCTGTATATATGTATTGAATCCCATGCCCTTTCACTTCATCAAAGACATTACTCCAGCAATTGTCCTCTCTCCCTAGGCATCATCAATTTTTCCTTTCTCCTGGATTAGTCTGGTCAACATAAAATGGGCTGTTATTTTTCCCATCTTAAAAAAAAGAAGTCCCTCCCTGGGCCTCACATTCTCTATGATCTGCTATTTCCATGTCCTCTTTACAGCCAAACTCCTAAAGGGTTGCCTATTCCTGTTGTCTCTACCTCCTCTTTCTTGAATCCAGCCCATCATGCTTTTGCCCCCACCAGTCCAATGAAACAGCTCTTTTCCAGGTCATCAGTGGGATGACCTCCATGTTTCCAGATAGTCTTATCCTACTCAATGGTAGTACTTGCTTTACGCACTAACCACTCCTCCCAATGCTGGTCCCTCCTCATCTCCTGGAGCTTTGAACAATCCTCCACCCTGGGCCTCAGTCCAGAGAATTCTCTTCTGTCACTACTCATTCTCTAGTTCTAGTATCATGGCTTCAAATACCATCCAAATGCATACAAATTCCAAATATGTATCTTCAGGCTATACCTTTTCTGTGAACTCCAGGTCCATATATCTAATTGCCTAATCATCATTTCTACTTGGAACATCTGTAGACACCTTAAACTTAAGGCTTTCCTTCCCAGTCGGCCTCACCTGCAGGATTCCTGTCTTACACTGACGGCAACTCCAAACTTTCAATAGCTCAGGCCAAACATTCTAAGGTTATTCTTAAGATTTTTCTTTCTTTTATTCAATGTCTAATTCATCAGCAAACTGTGTGATATCGATTCTTTAAAACATTTCCAAAATCCAACTGCTGCTTATCACTTCCCCTGCTAATACCATGTCCCAAGAAACTATGATGTCTTACCAGGATTATTGCAAGAGCTTCCTGACTGGTCTTTCAGCCACTCCCATTGTCTGCCCTCTCATGGTATATGCTCAACACAGCAGTCCCAAAGCTTCCTCTTCAACTGAAGTCAGATCATATCACTCTATGCTAGAACCTTCCAGCAACTTCTCATCTTGCTCTTGGTAAAAGCCAGATCCTGACAGTGTCCTACAAGGCCCTACCTGACTTGCATTACTACCCCATCTCTGACCTCACCTCTCATATTCTCTTCCTTCCTCATTGGCCTCCCGGCACTTCCTTAAGTTTGCCAAGCATTTGGTTTGACAACAGGGCCTTTGCAATTGCTTTCTCTTTGCCTTTGCATAGAAAGCCCCAAGTCTCACTCCCTCATTTCCTCCAAACCTTTACTTAAATGTCATCTTTGCTTACTCAAAAGTAGCAACCCCACACCCATCCTATCATCTATCCCCTTAATCTGCCTCATTTTTCTGCATGACACTTTGCACTGTCTGACATCAGATCTATTGATTTGCTTTTTTGTCCATTTCCTCTCAACATATAAACTTCAAGAGGGTATGGACTTTGTGTGGTTCATTCTTATATTGCAGCACCAAGAACAGCCTGGCATGGGTTTCCACTCAATAAATATCAATGCATGGATAAGTCATTTATCCAAAACATGGTCTGAAGCCGCAGACCAAATATCCCCAAAATAAGAGCGCCAGTAAACAAAACAATGCAAGCAAAGAAACAACTCCCCCCAAACCTGGATATTTATTCTAAGTGTTTCTAAATTTTAACCAATGGCAAGTGCAGAGCTCACTTTTCATGCTTTTTTCTGGTTTGAGAATTGTCCTTGGGTTAATTATTATTTTTTAATAGTTAAGAAAAAAGTTACTCTGAGTTTCATTAATCTATGGCACTCTTTCCCTCCTTTCCCCTGTGACCTAACTCCCAAATCCCCTACAGCTATAGTGAAATACACAGGTGCTAAATATTTGGGAGGATTACTTAACGTTTTAGCCTTCCTGGTTTGCTTAGAACATATGATCTACTACCCGCCAGTAATATTTTATAGCTTAGAAGATCATGTCTGAGTCAGTAAATTCCATGTTAATATGTGTAAGACTCAGGATTAAATCAGTCTGTAAAATGCCTATTTGTAATCGAATCTAGCAATTTTCTTCCTGAAGTAAACTGTAATCATATTAGCAACCTAGTGATTTCACTGGAGATGGGAAGATATAATTTTATTTAAAAGATTTTCTCTCTCAGAGGTGACCTAACTCTGTGATCCAGAATCATTTCAATATTGAAAAAAAATGGTTCGACTAACTCCATTCCCCTGATATATTCAGTTCTCCTCAGTGCCCCTTGGCTTCCCAACTTAAGTCAATGTAATCACAATGCACACAAGGCTCTTCTACTCAGAATCTTCTTGACTGGAGAATGGAAATCATTGGAGAAGAGCTGCCCTAAAGGTTTGTAGACAAGGTTTTGAAGAATCAAGCTACAATGCTTATCAGTGTCTGCCTGGAAGAAAGCCTACATCTCTTTCTAAAGTCAGCCTGTCACCATTTCTGAGCCATCAATGGCAGCACAGCCTCTCCTTCTGCCAGAGCTCACAGGGAATGACAAACAAATCTGTGAGGGAATACACCACAGCATCTGGATGTGGGTGTCATCATCTCTTTACCACCAAACCATTCTACCCCAATTTCCCTCCTCTTTGTTTCTAGATTATTTTTCTTTCAACTCAGTGAAGAACATTTTTCAGAACCGAGATTTTTGTCTGCTTGTCACTGAATCTGTTTCCCATTCAGCCTTCTCTTTCTCATTCCAATAGACACACAATATTAATGGTTAAAAATAACAAGCAACAACTCATTGGGTGAGAAATTTAGAAACACTTGCCTCCTATGAACCCAGGGCCAAGGGGAGCTGAGGATAGTGTCACATTACCAGCATGTTCAAGCTAGACATCCTCCATCACAAAGGGCTTGTGCCTTGAAATAATATTTAAAGAGAGAGAACAAGAAAAGCCACAAAATACCTCCACATACACAACAGGCATCTCGACCAAAGCACCAGTGCACACGCTCAGAGGTGGCTTAATATTCCAGAGCACATCCCTCTCCACTAAGAGGTACTCACTATCCCAGCACTTGACCTTGAGTCGAAGCACTCGGGAACAAGATCTCATTTGCCTGCTTGTCATTCTTTCTCCAACTTCCTAAGTTAAAAAATGATGAGAAAACCATGAAAAATTACTATCAAGGGTTTCTTTTAACAGTCTGATAGTTTAGATAAGAATGCAGTTTCAAGGATATATCCCATTTTCATAGGAAAAGAAAGGGAGGGGAGCCAAAAACATGAAGGGGGACCAGGAGAGCTGCCAGGAGGCTGGGAGGTGAGGAACAGTTTCCAGGTAAGGAGCTTGGAAGGTTGTTCTCAACGATAAAGCCCACTTTGCAGTGACTAAAAATATAAGCATTTTGGTCTATTTTATATTATAGCTGTCTTTCTTTTAGTGAAGCACCAACCACTGAAATTCATTTTGGAATTATGGCCACCCAGAAGAGGAAAGAGGTGATCAAGTGTCTCAAAGAAGAGATAACTTTGAGGGAGAGGATGAAAACTGCAAAGACCCTTGGGATTAAATGAAATCTGCTGATTCTACTCTTTTTTCACGAATTTCTATATGATATTTAGCAAGTAGAATATTTGATTGGTAATGGCCAGGCAGATTTCCCCATTATGTAACAAAGAGAATAATAAAGGAAAGCAGAAAACACTTATAACTGGCCTAGGAGACGGGAGTTTTGTTCTTGTTCTTATTTGTCTCCCTAGGAGAAGCAGCTCTTGTCCATCCAAGGGTGAGCAGAAGACTCTGCAGAGCATAATGTTGCTATGGTTTGTTTTACTGAAGGAAAGACACTGTAAATCTCAAAAATGCTCCAACCTCCCTGATTCATTTGGAAGTTACTGGGAATATGCATTTTCCCGGGAGACTTCTCTCCACATTGTCACAGTATTAAAACTCTGAGATAAGAATTCCTTCCCATCTTCTAACTTCCACCCAGCTATCTGGCTTCTGTCAACAGGCCTTACCCAAACAGGGTTATGTATGTGTGTGTGTGTGTGTATGTATGTATATATATGCATGTATATATGTGTATATACATATATATTTTTTTTTTCTGAAAACTACAGAAGGGACCATGGAGTTGTGTGAGCTGCCAAGGTGCCAATGATCAAATGGAGAATCCTAGCTTGGAAAGAAATCAAAACCATCAGAGGAATTACATTCCACCCCTAGGCTCAGTGGGAAAGAGTTTAAGCTCATGTGGATCTTGCTGCTCAGGAGTGAGCTCTGGGCTCTGAAATTGAGTTTATCTTCTCTGTCTTATAGGACACAGAAGTATATCTTAGGGGGCATGGGTGCTTATAGGATAGCTAAGCACCTATGTCCCCTAAGATATACTTGAAATAGGAAGATGTCCTTATTTTATGTATACTCGGTTTAGTGGCTTCAGTCTTGTGCAGATACATATATTTTCTTTGTAAGACTTCCTCCATTGGCCGCTATCGTACAGCTCAGAAAAGCTGAACTTTTCATTTCTATTTTAATATTTAATACTAAGCACAAGAGCTCTGTGGTTTCAATCAAACAATTCTCCATTCATGCCCTCAGGGTCCCCAAGAATCCTGCTATTTTTCCCACCTCCCCCGGATGAATATGGGTGTAGCAGGAGGCAGGGAATGGTCATTTTGGGGGAATAAGAAGCTCCAAATACTCATCAGCTGTTGGCCCCGTGACCTGTTGTTAAGGATCATCATGATCCAGGTATCTGTAATGACACTTGTGAAAAAGATGAAGTCACCACGAAGTCAAGGTAGAGTAGCTACTGCCCCTCTGTCTTAGCTTACTATGATAACATGATTTTGTGTGAATTATTGGGAGGCAAAAGGACAAAGGAAAAATGAGATTTTGTAATAGGCTTTTTTTTTTTTAGCTTAAAAAATTAGTCTAGTGCCCACCTCCTCCCTCCATCTTCATGCATGAGAATGAAAGCTCCTCCATTTCCTCCAATCATCTGAAACCAGCCTCCTGAACCAGGCTCCGGGGATCAGTACATTGTGAAGTTGATGGCATAGTAGACTCCTCACTCATTCGTCTAAGGACTTTTCCATCTTCCTACCTCCTCTCCTATCTTCCCTCTAGGACTAAGGAGGACTGATAAAATGTAAAAAAAAAAAAAAAAAAAAAATAGTTACTCTGTGTTAAGCAGGACACTAGAGCTCTTTCACTGTTTTTGGTATAAGCATAATGCTGTGTACGTGAGCCAAAATTTCTTCTGCAGCATAAACTAAAATCTTTGGAAAGATAGATTATTTCCTGAGCTTGATATCATTCATAAGTGAACAGGTGGGTTGCAAGAGAAGGTTGTTGCAAGATTCTCTGATCTGCGGGTGCTTAATAAATCACCATTGCAACCATGTGACAAAATCAAGGTCTCATAAGTATTCTCAGGGGACTAGTCTTTGGAGCACCCATGCTTCCCTTTCCTCAGGATTAGGCAGGCAGTAATGATTTATTATGGGTCTGGGGGCTATTGGTTCTTTCTTCAAGAATTCATTGTGTATGTCAACTGCCTTATATTTTTCTGTTCAGAACTAACTCATGCCTTAATCCTAGAATCAGGCTTGTATGTTTGAATTTTAAGAATTAGACAGAGGTGCCCAGAAGAGGATATAAGGGGCTCTCCCTCAAGGCTGCCCTGCTCACTGTGGGCTGACAAAAACTACTGACACCTTTGGAGTATCATGACTCCCCTGCACGCGTTCCTGAAGGCCCTTTTCCCATGTAGCACTTTGGAAGAAATCCTCTGTCCCAGTTTTTTCTTGAGCTTTTTATTTGTGTGGATTACATGCTACATAAAAAATTTTTAATAATAAAATTATTCACAATATCTTACCCCATAGAATTCGAAAACATTTTTATTTGACCAAGTTTTCTTCACTGTGGAAACCTCTCTATCCTTTCTGATTTTCAAATTTTTGCTTTCTTCTTGCTCTTTTTGACTTGTCTCTGTAGATGTATGTGCAGTGTGTGTGTGTGTGTGTGTGTGTGTGTGTGTCTGCAAAGGGAAATTTCATAGAAAAGATCTGGCTAAATCAGCTGCCTAGATTTTTGTGACTACAATTTTTTTGGGGACAGACAATTCAGGCAGCATTACTCGCTGAGTTAGAAATTTGGACAAGTTTTGGTTCGGCCAAGTTTTGATTCTGTCAAGAATTTTCTGTATAATCTTACTTTTGGCTAATTATCTAATTTTGTCATGCTTTGACTTCTCATCTGTAAAACTGAAAGATGATCCTATTTCCAAGTCAAAGGAGGTTATTTGGAGAAATGGTTATGGTAAATTCTCCTGTATTCACATACCAACTACTGTGATTTACTCAGAATCTACCATAGGCTAAGCATGGTGGAGTCTAATGGGTTGCTGGTGACTCTAGAAACTCCACCATTCCCCAAGGAGGGGAGAAGAGGCAGGCTAGAACTGCAGGAGCTCAGTGTGTCTTTACATGGGATTAAGCTAAAAATGCTCAAGAAATGACTCTTCAGATTTCTATGTGACCCATTTCTTGTGCCTGTTACCAAGAAATAACCAAAGTGAATGCCCTGATCACTGAAGGTGTACAAGAGTCTCAGGAGGAATCCTGACATAAAGAATATGTATGTATCTAAGCAACAAGACTGTCTGTTCTCGGTAGAACGACTTACGCTTCTCCATTCTCTTAGAACCAATGCATCAACAGGACCTTATGGATTCCATCAGGTAAAATAGGACAGTTAGCAGGATAACTAGGTTTCTCCATCACAAACAAAATGCTGACTTCACACAAAGCCTCTTTTCTGTAATCCAAGATGTCCAGCTATGTACAGCAGGCCCCATCCTAGTCATTAAAATGCAGTGGGATCAACTGTGCTAGACTGATTGGGCTCGGGTTTGGAAACATTCAGTACCACGCACATGTTCGAGCTCTGTGTCACTCAACTTCTCATCTTAACATTGTTTGTGTTTTGAGGGTGGGCTGCTCAGAGCCACCTTAGGATAAGAATACCTCAAGATGAATAAATTGAGAAAGAGAAGTAAAGAATGCAAGAGATGAAAAGTTTATGAAGGGAAACAGAGCTGTAAGTGCTCTCATTGACTTCCAAATGCATTTGTGTCAAAAAAGGGTGATTTTACTACTTCATGTTTTTCTCAGCAAGAGTTCTACCTGGATGCTTTGCTATTCTCCTTGCTTCCTGCCTAGGTGAAATCTTGATATTTTTCTTGATCCTGACCCCAGGAGAGAGAGAGAGAGAACAGATAAATTATTGAATCCCCGAAGGCATTTATCCCTATTCCTTGAGAATCCCTATTCTGTTCTTGGGGGACTGGCTTCTGCTTCTCCATCCTCTTACTACCAATCCATCAACAGGACCTTAGATGGCCACATGGATTCCATAGGGTAAAACGGGACAGTGAAGAGGATAACTAGGTTCTTCTATCACAAAGAAAATGCTGCCTTCACATGAAGCCTGAATATTTCTGTCAAACCTTGAGGGATCAATGATCCACCAGCCAGGTAGAGCAAAAGAGAAAACACTGACTGCATAAATTATAATATGTCTGTTTATCCCATTCTAAATGAACACTTTCATCTACCATAACATGATTGGCGTTGGAAATCTGGATCTATTTGTTAAGATTGTGTGCATTAGGGAGGTGCATAGGCATCAGAATGCTCATGGCAAAGAGATCAAATTCTGTGTAGTTGTGCTGTTCAGGTGAATATCTGAGAGCAATGTATGAACTACTGAGAGAATAACACAGCCAGAGGCAACCTAGTGGCCAGGTCTCTGGTTTGCAGAGGGTTCTTATGTCATGGCTAAAGGCTAAAGGGAGCATTAAAATAGCCATTGATTTCAAAAGAAAATCAATTATAATTAAAATGTGACAATGACAGTTAACTGCAAGACTGGGTAGGGCTGAAGTTTTAGGCAGGCATGTTTTGTTTCATTTTGGAAAAAAAAAAAATCCCCTCTGGAAATGGGTAATGTACTTATCGTAGAGGAGCAGACAGCTCAGCAAATTCACATTCTCAGGCCTTTTCCCCTGACGCTGTTCTCCTGTCAGATTTCAGAGACTGTGAGTCTCTTACTGTAAGGGGGACAGATGGAGTCACAGCCTGGTGGCCTAAATTCTTTGGGTAAGGGTGGTGTGATGAGTCACTCCCTCTGCCCAGGGTGATGATCAAGGGCTCCTTGGGTGCTATAGTCTGAAGGGCCTGGGCAGGAATGACATGGGGCCAGGCTCCCTGTGGATATCAGGACCTCACAGATAGGGTTACATTCAGGTTCCTCACTCATCTCATCTTTGGTCCTTGCTCTTTCAAGGTTCCCTACTTTCCGAAGCTATCATTGAAGCCAGTAACCAAGGGGGAACCATGAGCCTCACATGTCAGCTCCTGGCTTTATTGGTGACACAAAGGGAAGCTCCAATGTAGACTTCCTGTTCTTTTCCTTCCTCAGATCCTCTCTTTCCTTTTATGGGTATTTGGAGGCAAAATAATTGACATGAACACTTCATTGCTAAAATGCCTAGAATTTTGGTCCATTCATTGGCCCAAATGAGATTCATGACCATCCTTCATGAGGATGGCTGTCTTCCTACCCTCCCACCAGCTGTTTACCAGATTGTTTCATCAGCTAAAAAAAGTCTCATAGTATAATGAAATGGGGTTTGCTCTAAAATATTAACTATTCTCATTTTCAGGAGCAAGAATATCTAGACCCAATAGGAATTTTGAAAAGCAAAATTATCTCTCTAGACTTATATTTTAATTTTCACTAGGTATCTCCCAAGTTGTCACAAGTTTTGCCCTACCTTGCCGATAATAATTGTCCTACCCACTCCTGTCTCAATGAAGAATGGACTTTATTCACTTTTTTATAAAAGAGACTTGTCACTGCCTATAACTTATTTGAGTTCAGTTCTCTATAGTATGCTTTAAATTAGCACACAGTGGCAGAAGATGCCTCCCAAAGGGGAATAATTCATGGCCAATGGCATAATGAGATTTATAAAGAAGGTTGGCCCGGAGAAGGAAAGGAAACATTATCAGTTACCAGAGCAGCTGAAGTGAAAGGACAGTACCAGCTCCAAGAGTTTCTTCAGAGGGACACAGACTGACACTGGCTACTGCTAAGTAGAGCCAAGAGAGGAGAAGGAAGGATAAACAGGGCTTCAAGAATACAGGGACCAGAGGATAAGGGAGGGCCATAAAGTCAGAAGTGATGTTGTCTCCCCCTGAGGTAATGAATCCCTTTATATTTACAGAGAAAGGTGTAGTTTAGAGACTAGAATTCTCTCTGAGCCAGCTCATTCAAATCCTAACTTTCATTGGAAATATATAGATAAGAGGTAAAGTGTTCAATTACCTCAACTCTTATCCTCCCTTTGGGAGAAGTGACCCTGTAGACAAAGCCTCAGAAAGGGTGAGAAGCCACAGAGCTCAGGAAAGAAATACAAAGACAAGGTGGTGACCAGCACGGACAGTTCACCCAAGGCCACAAACGTGGAAGTAGCGTGTAATGAAATACACTGGTCCTATTGGACCACCACCTGGGGTCTACAAGGCTGTGTGATTAGTGAGCCAGAACTATGACAAGGTTCTTTGTCGCAAGTGTTAAAAACAAAAAAACAAGCTAAATATTGGATCACAGATCAGTCCCAGCATGGATCAGGTTGTTAGAGACTCAGTCTTGGTAGTAAAGTGTCTGGATACAAGCTCTACCCAAAGCATCTGAAAAGCTGATACCTAAAATTTGATCAATATCCTTCATAGTTTCTCCCTCTGTCACTTACTTGAGTATCATGTAGTGTTCCAAGTACACTTTCCTAACCATAAAACAGTCCAAAACAACTTCAAAGGACAAAGCACTTAGAAAAATCCAGATTTCATTTGAAATAATGAACTGTATACATGTAGCATATACAAGTGATTGTGTGTGCAGATATATATAGAGAAACTGGGGGGATTTATCCTTAGGTGCTACTGCAGATACAAATGGACAAAATAAAGTGACTCCTCCTCAATTATAATTCATAATAATATCAAATATTTACTAATGCCTTTCATATACAAGGCACTCTGTTTAGTGCTACAGAAGATGAAACGATTTAAAAATACATGGCCCTGAACACAGGGAGCTTATGCTGTAGCAGGAGAGACAAGATGTACAACCAAATACCTATGAAATAAGATGTCCCATGATAGCTGCCACTAGGGAGATACAATGAAAGTGTTATGGGCATTCATAAAATGTCTAAAATTATTTTCTGGATGGAAGATGAAGTTGTTCTGCTCTTTGAAGACATATATAGAGGGAATGGATATTATTCAAGAAGGGAGTGGAAGGGGAGATAGGAAGGAGAGTATTTTGGGCAAAGGGAGCAGTTTAAGGGAAGACACAAGTGGGTAAAACAAGCTGGTAGGGGAAGTGGAAACAAATGTGATTCAGCTTGTCTGGATTATGGGGCACACACCATCAAGTAACAAGTTACTGCTGGCAGACTATGGCAAGTGAAGCCCACTGAAGGTTGTTTCTTGAGCTGAAGAACGACATCTGATTTATATTTAGGAAGTTGAGTACTGATAAGAGTAGATTCAAATATAAAATACTGGAACAATGCTAAAAGATGCTGAAATAATCCAGAGTAGAAGGAAGGGTCTGAATGGAAAGGGAAGACTGGAAACCTTAGGGGGAAGAATTAGTAGGCTTTTCAAATTTTTAGATATGCAGGATGAAGAAAACAGAGGAGGCAAAAGTGCCCGAGAAGCTTGAGTTTGGTGACAGAAGACATGGTGATACCATTAAACATAAAGGAGGAACTTGGTGATTATGTTGGTTTGCAGCAATGTTCTTGGATATTTGAGTCAAGATGAAGTTGAGTGTTCAGAAGGTGACTGGAAGTATGTGTATTAAGGAAAAGCAAAAGGTAGGAGCTAAAAGTGAAGATTTGGGATTCATCTTCATTCAAAGAGTTATTGAAGTCAGAAAGATTGCTACAGAGCATGAAAATAAGGAGAGGAGGGTCAAGCTCAAAATACCATGGTAAGTCAATGCTCAGGAGATAAGAGGAAGAGCAGAAACCAATGAGGTAACAGGACCAGCAAACTAAGATTGAAACCAGAATGCAATTGCCTCCCAATGGTAATTGTCAATGAGGCTGATGAGCAGGGAAAGTAAAGAAAGGCTATTGACTTTTGTAGCAAGAACTTCATTGGAATGTTGCCTGAGAGTAGTTTCAAAAGAGTGGTAGGATGTAGCCCATTGATGAAGCCATGAGCATAAGGTGAGGAAGTGGAGAAAGAAAGACTACTCTTTTGAGAAGCTGGGAAGTGAAAAGATAAACACAGATAGGACAGAAATTCAAGAGTCAAATTGGATTGAAAGATTTGTCTTTAGAGATAGTTGTAGGATTGGTTTTTTTGAGATAGTTGCAGGTAGATGTGTGGAAGGAATTAAAGATGCAAAAGAGAGAAGTACAGTTGGCTGGAGAGCACCTCAGAAGAGGTCAGAGCATAGGGAAGAGGAGCACTCAGTTGGGAGAAAGGATGGGGAAGATGTGTGAAAGACAAGAGAAATCTAAAGGCAGAGAGGACAGCATATGTGAGGATTCAATAATCAGATTTTCTTGCGAACACAGTAGGAAAGATTGCCTGTTGAAAGACAGGACATGAACATGAAAGGAAAATAAAACAAATTTAACAAACAGAATGTGACACTGAGTCAACATTGGAGAATTTAAAAAGTTGTCCAAGTGAGTAGGGTTCAGGCGAGGTTAAATTGATTGATTTTGTGCTCTTCAGCATAGGTTTAAGACTTTCTCTTCTTGGAAATGCAGTGAAAAGGGGCTGGGGTGCAGTTAGCTGAGCATGGTTGGTGTAGTGAGGTGGCAAGAGGAAAAAGGAATTGCCAGTAAGAATATTGCTAATGTGGATAAATACAGGGTTAGATCAAAGAGGGAAGTCAATGAGGCCAGATGGATTTGTGGACCAGAACCACAGAGGGGTTTTGAAGGAAGGAAGATATAGAAAAGGCAAGGTTGTGTTAGAGAGGAAACCCCAGAATTTAGCTCTGGGAGGTGTAATAATTTCGAAAGAAGTCCAGGCCTGGCCATGACATGGGAAGTTGAATCTCTGCAATGTTTTTTCAGATAACATAATGGATATCTTTGACTCCTACCCTGAAACTAGAAAATATTAAACTTGCATGTACAATCATACAAATGTATACCTATTCATAAATTTACATATTTTGTACTTATGCATTCATATATTGTACGTGAGTACAATATACTCCATTTTGAAACCTTTTATATCATTCACAGAACTAGCCTAGGGACATAGTACGTGCACAATAGACGTTGGTTTAATTAAACTCACATATTTAACCAGAGAGCTTTTATTTTTTTCTCCTGCATAGTACTAGAACCTGCTCCACCCCTTAAATCACAACACTAAAATAATTACAGATAAAGGAGTTTAGGTTTAAAGTGTGGAAACCCAATCTTTAAAATAACAGTGTAAATTGGGCTTAGTGTTGTGCTTTTTAATTGTACCTTTATTCTTGCATTGAATTCTTTTACCTTTGCCAAAACACAGACTCAACACACCAGAGTGCCAAGGCTCTGAGGAATTCTACTCATCTACTCTGCTTTTCACCTTCAGTTCTTTCAGGGGCCCTTACCGACATAATCACCCCAGCAATTATATTCAAAGCATGAAGCAGCTCCAGAAACTCACTGTGCGGAGCTCTGAGATATGCAGAGAGAAATGTGGAAGATTTCTAACTTTCCCCACTTATTCCCAGTACTGCTATTCTAACCCATTACTCTGAACAAAATTCTTTTTTCTTGCTTCAATATTGTAAATGAGAAGCCCTAAACTTCACAGATCTCTCCAAGGCATAAAAGTAGCAGCATTGGCTTTCAATTTAAGGTTTTGGATGGGGGCCTTTGTCGTGGGAATAGATAGGCTGTCTCTTCTGAGTCATATAACTCACAGGGCCCCTGTGTGACTGAATCAATGTGGTTGGAATGAGTTGAGGGTGGGATGTTTTCAGATATCCTATGATTTTATACAATACTGGAACCCCCCCAAACTAGAATAGAATCCTAGATCCAGATCAACATTAGACATTCTCAGACTGACTAATCTGCATTTTAGTGTCATCCCAAACATCTGATAGGCCTAAGAAACAGTTGCCCCCCAGGTTAAGTAGCACCTGAGGTCATAAGTGGCTCTTTTACCAGATAACAGGGCACCCCCCATGGAGGTGGAACATATAGGATATAGACCAACTCAGCTAATTGGAAGATTATTTAAACTGGGACAGAGACCAGACAATGACAGTAACTTTTATTGTATCATAAATTCAATTTGATTATTCTAGCTGCCTACTCAGTAACATGTAATGGAGGAGAAGCATCACTTTTCCATTTTCTATAGAAAGAATCATAGTTCTCAACCTGCCCTACAAGATACTGAATTTAGAAATTCATAAATTATACACTCATGTGATTGTGTATTGAAAATAATTCCTAACCAGGAGTCCTATTTAGGTGTCACACGAGCCTTAAATAAAAGCAGGTGGAGGATAAAATATGGTTTAAATGTCTTTGCCATCTAGAACCTGTATCCTTGTTCCCTACTCTATTGCTGTCAGTGCTCTCTGCTCCCTTCCTCTTCTCTTGTGTCATAACTTATTCCCAGGAAAAGGAGTGAGATTCCTAATGTAAATTAGGTGATTAAATGTATAAATCCCTAATATGGCTTAATATGTCACCTTTCCTGGGATTACTTTCATTTGAATGACAGGCAGCTCAGCTCAGCACTAAAGCAACAAATCTGTGTGGGAAGGCAGTAGTTGGAGAGGGGTGGGAAATGAAAAAGACCTTTTCAGGACCTTCAACACACCATGTACCACACAGCATGCGTAAGGCCAGACCCATCCCGGTGTGACTATTCACCTTCAGCTGCTGCTTCTCCATGAAGAGCTCCTTAAACAGGAAAAATCTCTGACACCCAAGTGAAGAAAGCAAAAGCTCTGCTGTAGTGTGTAGCAGCCTACTGAGCATATGTTTCCTTTATGGCTTTGGGCTCAGAGAGCACATAAGGAATGGCCACAATCCCTGGAAATGCTGAATGCATTCATCAACATCACTGCAGTGACATCATTTATGCACACATCTGAATCATTCCCAACATACGAAAACAGACATTCACAGGGTGTCAAGCAATGACGGGGCCTTTTTAGAGAGATAATTATTAAAAGAATAAAGTGAGTTCTGGAATAGTTTTTCCAAAAGCTTATTGCCCAAACAATCTGGTTATTCTGTCTCTAAATCTTGAACTAACTAAAAACCAACGAAAAAAAAAAAAAAAATGAACCGAAGAAACCTAGCTCTTAGTGACATGTGCAGGTGACCAGCACTCTGCAGAGAATTCTCCCTTGGGCAACTCCCAATGGCCACAGAAGACCAGGTGGGTGATAGTCACTTAACTGTATAGATGACTCCTACTGTATCACGTCATACATGCGTTTTTGGCACTACTGACACCAGCAACATTTAATGGAATCATTTGGGATTTTCCCCTCAATCACAACATGGCTGTGGCCAGTGCAGGGGAATACACACGAAGGATGTTTCCCAAGTTCTGGCTGAGGATACACAGTGACAGATTTTGAAATAACAAAGTCAACTGTCCATGCATCGCTTTGAAAGGTGTGCACATTCTCGACTCAGGCAAATTCAAGAGTCAGATTATTGTCAGTGGAAATGCTGAGATTTAAGCATTGCCACTGAAAGGAGTTCATACAGGACCACACTCACCAACCACTTCTGCAATGGAAGGGAACGATAGAGGGTACAAAGAGAGAAAGCATGGATTCTGAAGAACATGGGAATATTAGGTACTCCTGAGGGTATCTGCGGAATCTCACAGTTTTGGATGGATTGGGTGTTGTTTCATACCCATCTGTGATATAGATTGGGCTTATAGCTGAATTATTTCTCATGCATTTTACTTGCTTGTTATTCTGGAATTAAGTAACATCTAGATTTTAACAATGCCCAGCCTTCCTTTCTTTACGCTTTCTTGAGCAGACCATGAGTAACTTAGTCCCAGTGCAAATATCCAGTTGAAGAAAAGTGACCAATTGGGGCCAAATAAGGAGTTTAGAAAAATAAAATTATCCAGCTAACAGCTTTCATGATGGGAGGATAGGAAAAAATGTAGTGAATATACTGGGTAAGTGGATTTGGAAATTTTAACCTGTGATAGAGGCTGCCAACCTCCACAAAACCAACAGTCTAGGAAAAGAAGTTCAATTGGTTAACCAAAGGCCAGATTATGAACACCTGGCTCAAGGCCAGTAGCACCTTCCTGATGGCAGTAATGAGGACAAGGCAAATAAAGGGCCACTATTGGCATCATTGCTCACATACCCATCCTCCCACCTCTAAACCTAACTTCAGCAATCTTGCTAAGGGAATCATCTCACCACTGAGTTTTTAGTGGATCCCATCATCTTTTCTAGAAAAGCATGCAAATTTGTAAGACACATATCCAGCACTACCTCTCTGGTTATGTGATAACCAGATATCACATGCTTCAAAAAGTAGTTAGTGGAGATTTTTCCAGGTGTGTTTGCCAGGCTGATTTCTGAGGGTGGAGGTAGGGCAGGGAGTGAGTCAGCGCCCAGGTCCTAAGGAAGAAAAGACTCAGATGACTGAGATGATTGTTTCAGCATCAGAGGAGGCCACTGGGAGATTTCTCAGGATTGAGCTTCCTGAAACCTTTCAGTCACACCAAGAACGGGAAGTTAATTTGATCTTAATTCTGTTTAAGCCCTTTTGGGAATCTTTCTTACCCTAGGTACTGACAGAGGAAATATGGTGCCACCAGCCTGTCTTTGCATGTTATGCGGTAACCTAGGGTCTACCTAGAAGGATAGAAGTCAGACCTGGGGTTTGCGTAGAGCCAAACTGAACCCTATGTAAAGCCCTGGCCAAAGTGCAGAACATTTCTCACAAACCAGTAAGAAGACTGGTTTTCTGGGGTGGGGGGAATGGACACAAATTACTTTCCCCTGGCTTTTTCACCATAGTGGCCTCCATGGGCATTCACTTCTTCCAGACACCCTGAAGCAAAAGCCATACAAAACAATTCCCCCAGTGGAAAATGAAAACCCATAACAAAACACTTTTTCCCTCTCATTCCCATCCCCACCCCACTCCCTCCAGCCCAACACCCTGAATACTCACAAGAGAACACTTTATCTATACAAAATTAATTAGAAAACAAAATATTTACATATGAAATAAACACCGTCTTGATTTCTGTTGCCAGCGGAGACTGAAAGAGCTCCCTTGGTTCTAGATTGCTGTTCGCTAGGTTAGTTGGTTTGGCTTTTGTTTGAAAGGGGTGAGGTAAGAGGAAGATGAGGGGATGAGTCCCTGACCCCTGGACAGAGTCAGGGCGAAGCGGTGTTTACGTGGCCCTTCACCTTCTTCCTCCCGGAGGTGCCTCACGCCCTCTGTCCTCTCTCAGTCTTTCCTGTTATCTAAGGTAAAGCACTCCGTGCCTCTCTCTCCAAATCTGTGAGAGGTTCAGCCCCTTGCCCCCATGTTCATTTTAGAAAGAAAACAAAGCTTTACAAGGCCTTCAGTTGGCTTTAAAATGAAAGATACTGAGGTAAAAATCAAGGAGGAGGGTCGGGGATAGCAGTCAAGGATGGGATGAGGAAGGGTCGTGAGTAAGGGCGAACAGGGGCGAAGAGCAGCCCTGGAGGGAGTGACTTGAAGAGACATGGCAGCTTCCTTCCAGAGGAGGATGAGCACCTTTCTGGTTTATGTGTCCTGTGTGCAACATGGCGATCCTGTAGTCAAGCTTCCACACAGACCCGGGGCTCTCTGGATGCCACCCTGTGTAGGGAAGGATGGCAGGACAGTGGAACTGACCTATAGAATAGCCCTACCCCAAGTTTCAGGACCGGCTGTGACACATATTCATTTCCCTTCTCAATTTTCCAATGTTAAGTGAAGGGAGCATCATGTCTGCCGGTACCCTCATCCCTGGAGTTTTATACATGTATATCTTTTTTTTTTTATTCCTCAATAGTACAATCTGAGAGGGAAACAAGGTGTTGCAGGAAGGTGGAAGGGCTTCTACCAAGAGTGTTCACTCTGGGTTCAAGTCACATTCCCAGGGAGCCAGGCCCAAAGAGGTGGTGGAGGATCCCTCTCTGCCCCCATCTCCCATTGCCAAGTCTCTTCCCCTCTCTTCATACCTCCTGAGCTACACTCATGGAGTGCAGCTCATTTCTCTTAATTGTCAAGTTCATTTCTCTTAACTGTCTGCTCCACAGCACTTGTAATCAGTTTTGGGGGAAGAAGCCTGCTCTTCTAGCTTCAGGTTAAGTAAGAAGGGATCAAAGCATTGGAAACATCCCCCTCTCTCACTTACCCTACCATACACGACTCCTTACTTCTTCAAAGGTGGCTTTGCTCCTCCCCAAACCTTGGCCAGTCGACAGTCTAAATACTCAAAAGAGCTTTGTAGAATCTTTTGCTCTCAAGTGTGGGCAAAAGAATCGTGGCTGTGAAAATTCTGTTTCCCTTTAGCCTTCCTGGAAGGTTCTTGGTTCAAACTGGTTGAAAAAAATTGCCAACCACTGAGTACTTGTTTTTGTACCTTGCTCTTGCAGGATTGCTCACCATCTTTTTTTTTGTCTAGACCACGGATTCTTCTTTATCAAGAATTTCCATTCTCCTTATTCAAGAAGGATGAAGGGAGACACAGCCAAAATTCAGGTAACACATGGCCATCTCTGTCTGTATATAAGCCAAACAATCACACTGCTTGGGGATATTGAAAGAAACAACAGAAAGAGTCAAGGTTGCCTTCTCTCGAGGCACCCAACTACATGTGGGTGCAAGTGTGCATGAACACACATGCATGCACAATCCACCTGCTCTTGCCTCCAAGGCACTGTGGGACACTATCATAACGTACTTTCCAGTGTGTTCAGGAATCCGCTCCGCCACCGATGACCTTTTGTTCCTGTTCACCACCATTGTGGAGTCTCATGGGGTTGAAGCAAGCATTTTTTGGCTTATATATAAACACACATGGCCTCCCAACCTCTGCTTGGCACACGATTCCTAGACAGATGTCATCTAAGCAGCATGAATTTAGCCAGAGCCTCTTTCTTTTCACAAGCAGTGTGCTAAATGGTCTCACGTAGATGCTTTTACTTCCTCACCTAAATGAAAAGATCAGTTTTGGGAAAAGCTACCTTTGTGCTCACATAGCCTCTTTTTGGTTCTCCCGGCTTCACTCAAAGAGGATGTCAAGGAGCTCTTCCACACCAGGAGGAAGCTCGCATGCAGCCCTTCCTTTCTCCGCTCTACCCTCCCCTGCTGAGAGGGCCCATGGCATCATCTCATGGGAACAGGAATGGCTGATAGGGGTGGAAGAAGGAGAGAACTGTGAAAAGGAGGGGAGATGGTGCTGGTCACCGGGGTTGCCCTCAGTAGGAACCAGAACTCCAGGATCCCATAAATAAATTAAAACAACAAGAAAGGAGCAAATGGGAACCAAGTTCACCCCCGTCACCCTCCGTGACATGCGCATCACACGACCCACAGCCTTACCCTCCCGTACCCACCTTAACCTCTCTGTTCCCTCACTCAGACATCAGACTCAATACTAGAAAGTTTCTCATAAACATGCCCATTGCTGGAGCCATTGAAAGCCCTGGGGTTTTTGTTGTTAGGCACACAGGGGTTGGACTGGTTCCCTATACAGATGTCCTTCTGGAAACGGGCTGGCACGGCCCCATGAAGGGCCGAGACCACCGGCTTGTTGGTGACAAGGGCCCGGAAGTCCGGCCTGGCTTTCGACGCCCCCGCCACCGTGGGCTGCCTGAAGAAGTAGGATTTGCTGCCATGGAGCAAGCACTGGTCGTCCCCAAAAGTGGGGATGAAAGGGTTTTGCGTGACCCGGTCAGGGTAGAGCGACTTGCTGAGCATGTAGCCGCCGCCGGGGTTGTTGTGGTGGTGATGTCCGGCAGTGGGCACTGAGGACTTGTTGTTGGCAAAGGTGCTCTCGCCAGCTGACATCTCAAACATGTGGGCGTAGGGGCTCCCATCCATGAATCGGCCCTTGTCTTTCAGGCTTACGCTGCGCGGGGCCAGGGCGGCTTCTTCCTTCTGCAGGTCCACGAAGGTGTCGTAGGAGTGCTGCCGGCGCAGTTTGTTCCGGTTCTTCTTCTGGGCCTTGGAATTAGTCGGGCTCTGAGGATACTTAGTGGTGGAGGCGTTTGACGTCACCGCCACCGGGGCAGCCGGCTGGTCTAGTTCCTGCAGGGAGTTGTCCTCGCTGATGTCATACAGGTTGCCTGCTTTCTTGCAAGCCTCGCACCGGATGCACGCCTGCCTGCCCGAGTTCTGACCCGTCACCGTCGTGGAGTAGTTGTGCAGCTTGGAGGGACAGCTGCGGCAGAAGTTGCCCCCGGACCGGTCCTCCCACTCCACGTTGGTCAGGTTCTTCTCCCACGGTGCAGGTACCCCACTGACCACGCCGTGTTTGTCACCTGCCCCGTGCTTGATGTGGGACCTGTTGGTACAGGGCCCTCCTCCGCTGACCGAGTCGCGCTTAAAGTCGTCACTCCGCTCCTTGTAGATGTCGGTCAGGTCCACGTGCTCCCAGTGGGGTGAGTTCTCCTTCGTTCGGAACTGGTCCAGGTAGAAGTCCCGTAGCCCTTCCTTGTCCCTGAAGTAGCGCTTGTGGTCAGGGGAGCGGGGCGGTCGGCGACGGTAGGCCAGCTCGATCTCGTCAAACTCCCTGCGGGACTTGGCCGAGGCGGGCCGCTTCTTCAGGCTGTCCTTATATTGCTGCTTACGCCTCTTGGCGGCATTGCCCTCGATGTTCCCGTAGGTGACGGTGTGGGTTGAGATGTCAGAGACATCGGAGCGGATCAAGTCATCGTGGCCACTGTAGCGGTCGCTCTTGAAGGAGAATTTGCCGTACAGGTCACTGAGCTGGCTGTGCTTGGAGGAGGGGAGGCCGATGTCCAGGGGCTTCTTGCTGATGGACCTGGACTGGGTGGTGAAGGGTGGGTTGTCACAGTCGTAGAGCCCATCGATGGAGCTGGCACTGCCGATGCTATGGGGCCGGTGGTGATGGTGGTAGTGATCTTGGTACACGTTGCTGTCCTTCAGCTGCAGGTTCCCGAACGTTCTCTCCACCTCACTGATGTAGTCACTGAAGAGGTTCTCCTCACAGGGCGGGTTGTTGTAGGATTTGCAGTCAGAATGTGTGAAGCTGCGGCGATGCTCCGAGATGTCATAGACAGATGACTCCCGTCGGATGAAGTCCAGGGCGCTCTGCGGGGAGCCGTTCACACCAGACAGGTTAGCCATGTTCTTGGCTGTCCGCAGCAGGCGCAGGATGTTGGAGTGTGTGTTGTTCATGGTTGCAGTGGGGGAGTTCATTACGGATTGGCGCTCCTCGATCGCCACCCCATGGATGCAGCTGTAGATGCCCTGAAGCAAGAACGCGGGGACAGGTTAGATCTCCAGAGATGCTAGAAATGACCACAAAAAAACACTCTCCCACCAATAATTGCCCCAACTGGATAAGAAAAAATCAGGGAAAGCATGAAGCGAATAGTCTGATATACTGTTAGATGTGGCTAGAAGCTTATCTAATTTATACCCCTGAAATTGGTGACTGTCATGTCATGAGACGAGGTCAGTGACCTGGCCATCAGAGAGGGGGCATGGTCACACCCAGTAACTTGAGCAAAGGGACTGGAATCATAAGATATGGCATTTTTGCCTCAACTTCACAGTTGACTTACCGTGGTTTTCTATGCCTAGATTTTCACATCTTAAAAATGAGGCCATGATACCAACCCATAGCAAAAAATATTGTCAGTCTTCTGGAAATAAATGGCCATGCTCTATGGATGCTGAGGTTGCTCTGCCATGGCTGGCCATATCTGGCTGACAGTAAAGCACAGGGGAGCTCAGTAGCTCACAAATGCCACTGTTTTCCAGCTCTGACAAATTTTAAGCAGGTTTTAGAATTTCGGTCACCAAGTAACAGCTGAGCAATTCTCTTCAATTCTCTTCTTGAGCCAAGCATGAACAAAATTCACAGAAAGAGAGAATTAGGAAGCCCTGGGGTCAACGAAGGATTTTTCTCCTGCTGTGCTCTACACTGTGGGAGGGAAGAATTGGGACAAACAGCCAGTACTAAATAGGAATAAATAACTCCCTTGTTGAATTCTCTCATTTATTCTCTCTTTAGCGCCTGTTTTCCTTCTTATACTTTCTCACTCAATATTATCATCAATAATTAACATCTTAACAAATTAGTATTGATCGAGAGCTCCCTGTGTACAGCTTCTTGTATAGGGCTTTGAAGGACACTGTGCAGGAGAGGCAATGGGCTGGGTTCCTGGAGGGCTCAGTATGTTTGATTCTAAAGTCAAGCCAACTGCCTGCTCACATCTTGCTCCCTGCCTGGAAAGGTGGACAAACTTGGAACTTTTCTCCCTGGCTAGGGAAAGTATTTGAAAAGAGGTTGTTTGAATTGTGTCATTACAACAAATGGGACTAATTTGGAAAGGTAAGTTGTCTCAGTGGATGGGAATGAGAGGGGAGAGGATTAGCAGAATCGTAGCCAAATGGGAAAGAAGAAAGGTTTAGACAAGGTAAGTCTCATTGTCCCACAGGGCATCAGCAAGATGGAAGATCTTCAAGGTAAGTTTATTCCACTTTCCCAGTTCTTCTAACTCTTCCTGATTAAGGTCAAGAGAAAATTCCAAGCCTTTTTTCCTCTATAGAGGCATTGATCATGTCAAAGCATCATAAATGGGGTTTTTGTTACAGATCACCAGCTCCCATGGCTTCTGGCATTCCCCTATCTGAGATCTTAGGGAAGGGCTACCAGGGAAGCAACATGGCTCAGGGATCATCACCACCCCCAAGTTCCATCCTCCTGTTCTGAGCTCACTCGATGGCCTGAATTAACTCACAGCCAGAGAGGAAACGGAGAAATTGTTCTCTATCAGTAAAACACTATAGGAAAAAGATGAAAACATGAAATAATTTAACGAGAAATCAATTTTCTCATTAATACAAAACTCCGTTTGAGTCAAAGTTGGCCATATCTGGAACCTAGACCTTCATTCATTCTCATGAATTAGTCTCTCCACTTTATTAACAAAATCAAAAGCAGCTCACTTTTTAAAAAACTGCTCCCTGTGACCTTCTGCTCATACACAAAACTGTCTTCCTAGTGTCTCATTTTGGACTAGGAATGAAAAGGAGACCTAAATAAAGAATGACCTAAGAGTTTTTACTCTTGCTCCAACTAGGGAAGTTTCTGGAATGTAAATTTCTTATGAGTCAGAGCTTATTTCTGAAGGTTCTGTTAAGCTCTTTAACTCTCCATAACCAACACATGGTTAAAACATAGAGTGAAACAACTAATAATATACCTTTGTATGTTAAAATAAGAGAGATATGTTACATATAATTATTTAAACAGAAATGTACATTTTTAAAGGATTAGGTAGTTAATAGAGTTTATACAAAACCAACTAATGGTGATGAAAGGCATTTGGTAAAAAGCCAAATTTTTCATTTTGACAGATCTGTCAGTTCCCGTAGAGAACCAAATGCCCAAATCCCACACAGAAAGCTGTTTCTTGAAGGAAATATAGTATCACCCACTTTTCTGAGCCGCTTGCAATCACATCGCACAAACTCCTGAGAAAACATACATGATGTGGTTTCTTGCTTGAGCAACATGGGGGTGGAGATAGTGTCCTCTTGGGTCTCTCTGCTTTGCACAGTGCTAGGCTAAGCTGTCCCTAACAAGCTCTAGGCATTTAAATCAAAACACTTACTCTGCTGATGGAGAAGACCATGCCAGGCTTGCCAGAACAGACACCCATAAAGCAATGTCGGAACTGCCAATAGAAAAGGTGTTCGCAGATGAAGGTGATGAGGCTGAGAGCCATGGCCGCCCCCAACATGTAGAAGACCCCTGCCATGTTGTCAATGTCCAGCTGGCTGCTCATGACCTCATTCTTCTCATTGTGACAAATGCCAGTGAGCCAGAGAGCTTCCAGTTCTTCCATCTCCCCTGGAGAAAGGACAGAGAAGGAAAACAGATAAAAAGAGGAGACAGGAAAGGAGTAGAGAAAAGGGGAAAAGAGGGGTATTGAGCAAGAAAGAGAAAGATACATGAAAGGAAAAGAGACAAGGAGACAAAAAGGAAATGAAAAAAGTTAACAGTAATATTATTAATGCCATTACGTATTAATTCATCAACGTACTCAGTCAGCATTCAATAAAAACTTCATGTGAGTACTGCAGGCGCTATGAATACATGAGATGTTGCTCCCACTCTCCATTATCTAGCCTGTATAAATTGGCATATAAATAATCACAATGACAAGCTGTCTGCAGGTAACAAGAGTTCAAAGTGGTGACGGTAATTGTGTGGATAGCATGGCCAGTGGTTTTTCGTGAAGTAAGTAGGAGTTGGAAGTGGGCATGCTGGATGGATGAATTTTAATTTACATTGTACAAAAAGGCACTCCAGGCAGCAGGAATAGTATGATCGGTGGGAACACACAAGGCTTGTTTAAGGAAAGGCATACAGAACAGTTCAAACAGAAAAAGACACAGTAGGCAAAAGAAGCTGAATAAAAATGATTGATGTGAGAGTGCTAAAGACCAGAGTATCAGATTAAGCATTCTGCACTTAATATTACAGACAGTGGGGAATAACATAATCGAATGAGTGATTCAGAGAATTGCCCTTAAAATTGTGCAAAGCAGATTGGGTAGGGAGGAGAGAGGCAGAGAGATTGATTGATTCCCTAGGGCCCCTCCGATTTACTGATCTCTTGTTGAAGAAAATAAAGAGCAAAGAGGAGTAAGCTTGAATAAAATAAGACTCCCAAATTCAGACTTGCCTTCTTTACACATTGTTTAACCGTGCTTTGATTGCTTTAATTCACGTGAGATTTCAATGACCTTTTTCCACTTCACCAGATGCTAGGAAGTAGGAAGAGGTCCCAGACAAAAGGAAAATAAAAGAAACCATGTGCCCTAGAATGCATCTAGTTCTAGACAAGCAAAATTCTGAAAATCTCATGGAGAAAATTGCCCATTCCAATAGTTCTAGTTTGGCTAAAAAACGGAACTTTGTTTGCATAATCTGACTAAAGTTTTGGCAACTTTTGCAAATCATCTCTTTCTGATGGGTATAATCTCCATTATTGCCTTTGAGTGACAGCTACACTAAAATTACAGAAGCTCTTATACCAAAATGGCTTGGTAACACTCCAGCTAAAACATTCTCCTGTTTCCAATGTTAATCAAATCACTTTTCCCTTATTTTTTTTGATTAAACTATGATTCTCCTAACTAGTGGAGCAGACAACTTTACCTGGATTCTAAAAATCCACCTGTGGTCTTCTGCTTCCGATCTCATCCTTAACGGCAAACCTTCTGCAGACATAATTGAGATAGCCACTTGGCTGATGGCTGGTGAAGCCAAGTAGGGTCTGGCTGCTCATTCATAACTGAGTTAGTTTCTGTGATTCTAACAGAAAGAGTAGTTTCTTTGTACAATAAAGTGAAGAGGGATGCAGAAGACAGGAATATAATGAAACAGAAGATGAGATTTTTTTCAACTCAAGTTGGCAGTTCAGTATGCTGCCAGGATGATACTGGGGAGTAGCTGATGGTGTCTGCCTCTGAGGACCCTAAACCTGCCTCTTCCAGCTGAAAGAGCAAGATAGGAGAGCAGGAAGAATGACTAGATGGCTGCAAGTTTATTTCTCTGCCCTACCTCTGGGCACATAAAGAGCAGAGACCTTCCACAATTCCATCTATTATTTTGGCCACATGTGAGATGACTGGATGAAATATCTAATATCAGTTCTCCTACTTTATCCCTGAAGGTTTGATTATAGCCTGCAACCCAGAAACAAACCTCCTTGACAAACTGCTTCAATCCTCTCCCTGCCATCTTTCACCTTGTTATGGGGTGAAAGATGTCATACCATCCCCCAAAAATATATGTGTTGAAGTCCTAACCCCCAATACCTTGGGATGTGACTTTATTTGGAAATAGAGTCATTGCAAACATAATGAAGCCGAGATCATCCCAGAGTAGGGTGAACCCCTAATCTAATATGACTGTCATTCTTAAGAAAAAGGGAAATTCAGACACAGACATGTGCAGAGGGAAAACATGCACACTGGTAAAACACCACGTGAACATGAATCAGAGATCGGTGGTATGCTTCTACAAGGTGAGGAATGCCAAAGATTATCAGCAAACCACCAGATACTATGGGAGAGGCATGAAACAGATTCTCCCTTGCAGACCCCAGAAGAGATTGCCCCTGCTGGCACTGTGATTTCACACATCTATTCTCTGGAACTGTGAGACAAGACATTTCTGTTGTTTAAGCCACTCAGTGCATGGCACTTTGTTATGGCAGCAATAAGAAACTAATATATACCTGAAAACTACATAATATACTGTGAAATGCTTTTCTGGAAATGCACAGGTTAAATAAATGGAGGAAAGGAAAAGGTTGATGTTTTGGACTGGCCATCAGTAGAGGACAAATGGGCACTTTCCCTTTCTTGAACTCACCATCTCCAAAGAGCTGCAGGATAGCAAGGTCCACCTGGCGCTTCCACCCAGAATCTTTTTGGATGGCAATGCCATAGCCAGTGGAAGCAAAGACCTTCCCACTGCCAATGGTCACCAGCTTGCAGCCTTCATCTCTGCCTGCCATATAGTTCAGCACTGCTGCATCATAGATGAAGGCATCCAGTTTCCTGTACAGGAAAAAAGCAAATCCAATGGAGGAATTTTAGAACACAACTACCTATGGGGCCATTAATATGAAGCAGTAGGGTTCCAGAAAACTATGTGGAGAATTGGTTCAAAGTAAGGTTTAAGTTGGAACTCTGCCAGAATCTAAAGCCTAAATCCCAGGCTGTTCTTTATGTGCTTTTGGGTTGAAAGGAGGAGTTCTTTTCTTCCCACTGGGAATGATGAGAATGTAAGTTGGGCCTGAAGCCAACTCATAAACTGTGTCTGAAAGGAAGAAGGAGTAAAAAGGGATCAATAAAAATAATAACAGAAATAATGAAAAGTAACCACCGCAATGAGCAACAAATAGCATGGGGTTAGATTTATATAACATTTTTCATTTCTCAGTTCATTACAGTCTGGAGTGGGGATAAGTGTAGGTGTTTGTGTTTCAATAGATGTGCAATGCTATTTTTGTGGTCAGGAAGTTTCCAGTATTCTGTCGTGCAGCACAAGGATAGAGGTGAGGGGTTGAGGTGGTGGCAGTACAGGCTTGTGTAAGAGCAGATGAGTGAAACTACAAGAGAAGGCAAAATACAGAAGAATTCAGATCTCTCAAATAAATAAATTACAGCATATAGTTCCTAAACATAAAAGAACTTCATTTTATGTATTGTGCTTTGCAAGGGAGAAATACATTAAAAAAGGCAGTAAGACCAGGCATAGGGGCAGGAAGGCATGAATCAATATTTAAAACCAACATTTAAACATATCAAAGGTAGAGGAAGAAATTTAGATATAGCTGTACAGGCAATAGAGAGGTCTGCAAGAAAGAAAAGCAACACCATTATTCCCTTCATTTTTATTAGTTAAGTCACTTTGTTAGGTAACCTATAGAAAGGGGAACACCAAAAGACCAAAGCCCTGATATGAATGAGAATGGTGGGTGTAGCAGGGGTCAGAATACCCAAAATGGCCCTACCTTCAAAGCTCAAATCCCATCTTCTGAGATATTTTGTGACCGTATCTATGGTGATAACATAGAGTCTAACAGTATTTTATGTAAACATGTATCTAGGTGCCTTTTCCAGACCTGGAGCTACAAGGGTATTGAGAGGAGGTCCAAGTGCTGTTTAATCATCATACAACAAAGAAAATGAGCTATAAGACCCCTTGACTTCCAAATCCCAACATCTATAATGCTCCATTATCCATCATCTTCCATAACTGTAGCTTGTGGAGGCCAAATGAACAAAGGGACCAGTTTGGCTGGGACTGTGCAAGCCAACACATGTGTAGGTCATGAACTCCTATGAATGGACAAACACTCCCTAGAGGACAGAGTATGTTAACACAAGCTGGCACTGGAGATCAGTCAACACATTCTTACTGTTAATTATCTAAAAACATTTACACTTTCCCCCTTTTATTTCTCCATTGTCCATAAGACACCAGAATCATAATTTTCACCTCTTAGACAACAGGTCTTTATTTCATACACGGCACAAATACCTTAGCCTTCACTCTGCCCTCCTACTTCTACATTTATTTCACTCTTACTTCGTGGTTACATTAGTGCAACTAGAAAATAATTTGTAAAAAAATACATAGAAGTAAGTAATAGCATAGGAATCTTTGTACACTGGTCTAAGTGATACTATCAAATTTAACTTGGAAATCCATAAAGAGCAAATGAAGTCTTCTTTAACATTTTATGATACCAACCATGGTATACCTAGTGCATGTGATTCAATAGTATGCTTAATAAATGTGAGAAACAGATCAAGGACTCTGAGCTTGGAAGCAGTTCTTACCCTGTTTTCAGGGAGAGCAATGCATCATCTACACCCCTCTGGTTGAACTTTCCCATGTAGGCATGCATTTCTGCATAGTTATTGCGAATATTTCTCTCTGTGCTGCCGTTGGGCACGGTCCCAAAGCGGAAAGGGGGTGAGAAGTCATTAGGTCTCTGGAACTGGAGAGAGAAAGACAGATAGAGACAGAGGGAGTTGGAGGGAGAGAGAGAGAGAAAAGTCATTTTAGAAAATGTGAAGAGACATTAAGTTAGCATTAGTGGATTTATAATGGAAGGGAACCAACTATACTTCGCCAAATACATTAGCCCTCACTCAAGAGCAGCCATTGCTATCTGAAAGCAGACTTCAATTCAATTCAATTTAGTACATATTGTTGAGAGATTTCTATTTGCCCAACCCTGACTTTAATCTATAACCCTTCTGTGTTCCTTTTATGTCCACTACACAATACCAGTGTTGATGGGCCAAAGGAATGTGCTGGTGGCTTAACTGAGGTGGACTAGTCACCTTTATTTCTAAAAATTATGTAAAATATGTATTCGGGTCTCTTAAAGGCCTAAATACACAGTCATTGGACTATTTGGCCATAGGGCCTTAGTGAAGTGAGCTATGTGGTACTCCTGAAGATAATTTGTTAAGTATCAAATATGTTTTGCTAAGAAATTTTCTTTTGACCTTCCCTGATGCACTCAAAGCTCATATTTATCCCACATGAGTTGTACGATAAACTGTACAATCAAAGACAATTTTAATTATGTTCCCTTTCTTGCTTGAGACTGAAAGTGCATCTCCAGTGCCTATTATAATAAAGTGAAACCTCTTGGATTTTCATCCCTATGACATCAGTTTTATTTCTGGCTATCACTCTGCAATGCGTAAGTCTTTATGTTGCTTCCTGAACACAAAATTTGTTCATTTGTGTCTTCACGGCCTCATATAGTCCATCTCCTCAGTGCCAACTCATCTATCTCTCTAGGCCAATTTATATCCTTCGTTTCAAAATAAAACTCAAAACAATTTCTTCAAGAAATCTTCTGTGAATTCTTTCTTCCATCAAGTCTACCCAAAAGTGACCCATCAGAACAGGTTATTCTTTGTCTAGATCACTGTAATCCTACGCATGCAATTACTCTTTAAATGTTCTAGCTAGTCTCTGATGTCATCATTAAGAGTTTAAACTCTAGATTGAAACATACGGATTGAAGACCAGCTCCACCACTTACCACTGTGTGACCTTGGACAAGTAGCATAAACTCTGTGCGTCCTGTCCTCATTTGTAAGAAGGAGATGATAATGCCTAGTTTTCAATATTATTGTGAGAATTAACTAATATAATTCATATGAAGTGCTTGGCACAGCACCTGGCACACAGTAAGTGCCCACTAAATGTTCTCTTATACTATTTTTAATTTGGGTCTCTATTCTGCATCTCCTAGTAAACTGGCTCTCTAAGCTTCTTATTCTATTAGTACAGCAATGATCGTTGTAGCTGTGCTGTGCTTTGGCATCAGAACGACAATGAAGATATTTGAAGTCCTCTTGGTTTCAAGTAATAGTACCATTTACTTTGGAGATACATTTGAAAATCTAACCTGCCAACTCAGGAGAACTCTGAAGCTTTGGAATTGCTTGGGATTAGAAGAAATTCTTTTCCTTCTTAGAATATGGGAGTTCCATGGACCACAAAATATCTCAGCACCAGGAGCCATAAATGCCATCTTAATTGCTCAGTGCTGGCCACGGTTAAAAGTAGAGTCATGCAGTGGTGTTAGGCAATCTGTGATGCATCAAACAACTACTACTTCCTGACTGAGAAAGCTCCCCCTCTGACTCATCACAGAGCTTTTTGACATTAAAAGTTTTGAAAGGGGTTATAATTTTTAAGTGGATAAAAACACTGCAAAAGAGTAAGAAAAATCTAGAGCCAAATGGGCCACTCAGGGTTAACTAGCCCAAACCTTTCATTTCACAAATGATGAAACCCAAAGAGGGTAAGTAATTTGCTCCACATCACACAGTGGCATTGATAGCTAACAGATCAGAGCTAAATTCGCCAAATTAATAGTCACTCCTCACTGTCTCCAGCAGATAGCAAGCTTAAAGTAAATAGGGATATGCTTTATTGGAAGAGACAGACCCAGAATGCTTTGCATATCACTATCAAATACAACACTTCAGATGTTTGAAGAAAGGCATTTCCCAAATCAAAAGTAGAGTAAATAACTATAGTAGACAGCAATACAACTAATTAACTCCCTTTAATCAGTAATTCCCCCACAATACTAGGACAATGACAACTATGTTTATAATGACTAAGATACTCTAGGGCCCAAGGGATTTTCTGAAACATCAATGAAAATTGCAATCATGTCCAATACAATTCTGGTATAAATGATTACACTTTAATTTTTCTGAAAAAAAGGGCAATCCATGCAAGGTATATGCAACAATTTTACATTAACTAAATGGAATCCAGTGCCCAGAGGGCCTCACTTCCTGATGAAGCTACATTATAGGCAGTTTTCATACAGCTTTTTATATAGCAATTTTTAATTTTAAATTATTTTTAGATTTCTAAATTCTGTTTTGTAACTGTATCCCTGAATAAATAAAAGGTAAGGAAATGATAAAGGGTCTAGAATAGCCAAGATCACTTTGAAAAAAGGAAAAAAAAAATGTTAAAGGATTCACACTACCTGACTTTACAATTCATTATAAAGCTACAGTAATCACGACAGTGTGGCATTAGCATAGAGTCAGATCAATGGAACAGGATAGAGTGCCCACTGACAGCCACACATATATGGTACAAGGGCAATTCAGTGGAGATAGAATGGCATTTAACAAATGGTGTTGGAATAATTAGATATCTGTTTGCTAAAAATGAACTTCACTTCACACCTCATAAGATACACAGAACTTAAAGTGGATCATATACCTAAAATGTAAATGCTAGAATTATAAATCTTGTAGAAAATATAGGAGAAAATATTTGTAATCTTGAGTTAGAGATTTCTTAGCTACAACACCAAAAGCACAATCCACCAAAAAAAGGTAAACGATAAATTGGAGTACATAAAAATAAGAACTTTTTGAAAGATGCAGTTAAAATCATAAAAAAGATAAGCCACCAACTGGGAGGAAGTATTTGAAAATAAATTAAAACTATTAAAACACTAAAGGAATTAGATAATGACATAGCAAGACTTATATAGTTAAGGCATCTTTCAAATGAAAATAATCAGGCCAGGTGCAGTGGCTGATGCCTGTAATTCCAGCACTTTGGAAGGCCAAAGTGGGTGGATCACTTGAGCTCAGGAGTTTGATACCACCCTGGGCAACATGGTGAAATCCCATCTCTACCAAAAATATAAAAATTAGCCATGTGTGGTGGCATGCGCTTGTGGTCCCAGCTACCTGTGAGGCTGAGGTGTAAGGATTGCTTGAGCCCAGGAGGTGGAGGTTGCAGTAAGCCAAGATTGTGCCACTGCACTTCAGCCTGGGTGACAGAGCAAGACCCTGTCTCCGAAAAAACAAATAAATCATCATCATCATCATCATCAAAATAATCAGAGAAACCAAGCAGTCAGTACTGGGGAAGAAGGAGGAAGTGCTGGTCTTAAAGGCAGAGAATTTGAATTTGGATTTCAGCTTTGTCTCAGGCCAGCTGCATGAACATGGGCAAATTACTTGAATTTATGGATCTACCCTCTTTTCTGGAAGTATTATTTTAATGAATAAGATAATATGCAAAAAAATAATACCTGGCACATGATGGATTCTCAAAATTCTTAGTTGCTTCTATGGAGATGAAGTTCTAACATTTAAAATTGTCCTATGTAAGGCAATGTTCCCTAAGATTGAACATTCTTATTCTCTAATTTGTTCCTTAAACTAGGCCAGTCTGGAGGCCAACAGGGAGAGGACATTGCCCCAGAATTAGCCAAAGCAGTGAGTTGCTTTTTCTTTTGAAAATTCTTGTCTCAGCTTGGTGAGATCTGTGAAGTTTACATAAAACAGAGTTTTTTATGCAGTCAATGGAACTTGAACTGTACTAAAATTCACATTCATGGATAACTGTTTAGGGAGGCCATGGAGAAGAAGGAAAAAATAATCTTCCATATATCCTCATGCTTCCAATAAATGCCCTTGTAATAAAACTTACCCCAAGCTGTAAGGCATTATATGGCACTAGTGTAGCCTGAGTGGCAATCAGTGCTTTCTAGGGCTTTGGGAAGGAGAAAAATTTAGCACTGTCAAGAATCATAAGTCTTAACATTAATAGAACAGGGAGGCCCCTGAAAAAATAATTTTTAAACAAATTTAAAAGCCTAATGTATCAGGGAGCTCAGTAATTGAATTAAAAAACTCAGTCTGATTTCGAAGTAGGGAAATGTATACAGTACTCTTTATTTTATTTTTTTTTTTTTTTTTGGAACAGAGTCTCACTCTGTCACCCAGGCTGGAGTGCAGTGTTGTGATCTTGGCTTACTGAAACCTCAACCTCAACCTCCCAGGCTCAGGTGATCCTCCCACCTCAGCCTCCCGGGTAGCTGGGACTACAGATGTGAGCCACCACACCCCGCTAATTTTTATACTTTTAGTAGAGACAGGGTTTCGTCATGTTGGCCAGGCTGGTTTCCAACTCCTGGCCTCAAGCGATCCACTCTGCTTGGCCTCCCAAGGTGCTAGGATTACAGCCGAGAGCCACCACGCCAGGCCCAGTACTCTTTATTAATCACCTTTGGTCATAGAGCTTCCTTGAATGTGGAATCTTTTTCTAGGAGTCACCCAGATTGGAATTATCAATCAACACAGATTTGGATAGGAAAATAACACAGACAGGGAGGGCCCCATTTCATAGATGAGGAAACTGAAGCCCTGAAGAGATCAAATAAGTTGTTCAAGCCCACACAGTATAGCGGGAGGACAAGCTGAGACTTGGTCCCTGAGTATGGCCTTCCCTTTGCCAGTTGAAATGCTAGCTGAACAGTCCTACTTCCTGCCTACTAGGTAGCGAAGCCACACGCTGTAAGTGGGGCCACGTAGTGAGACTATCCTTCCTTTTGTGGCAAATCAAATGCCAACTCCCATCCTTCCCACTGCATTTAACACAGGGCTCCAAGCAATTGCTGTGAGCGTGCACTTGCACAAGGGC